CCCCAAAACCCCAAAACCCCAAAACCCCAAAACCCCAAAACCCCAAAACCCCAATTTTATTAATAATAATTAAAAGATGTTTGCAAGAATAAGCACGAAGAGATTGGCGAAAGCAATTAGATCTTCGATGTAAGTCCAAAGTCTTCATCCAATGCTGGGGCTCTGCCCCAGCATCAGATTAAATGAAGACTTAACTCTGTATAGAAGGCCAGGAAGACTTTATCCCATCGCTCACAGGTTTAGGCTTATTTTTACAATTTAGACCATTTTCAAACCTTATTGACACGAATAACCTGCTTGAAGCTTTTGGAAAGGAATTTGAATTTGAAAGAGACAATTATGAAGCTGTAAGGGATTTTTGGTTATCTGACGGGATATGCCATATTAAACTTTATTTAGGTGGCAGAGAAAGCAGACTTTTTGAGAACTAAGGGATTTGAATTCCATGAGACCAATGATGGAACGAACATGATTCTCTCCAAACAATTTGAAGATAAAACTATGGAAATTTGATTCAAAAGCAGACTACCTGGCTTTGAAAGCGAGGGCTATGACCTTAGTGATGAAGAAGATGATCTTAATGAAGCAAGTTATACTGACTTCACTGTGTAAGTTTGGGTCAAATTTCTGACTATTTAAATTCATGGCCTTATAAATTAATAGATACATCTCAAAGGATAACAAGGGTATAATCTATGAGTGTACATGCTTGAATACAGAAGTATCAATCACCCAAGTGCTTTTCAGCAACGACATTAAAAGTTTCAAAAACATCCCAACCTACCATAAGGAAGAAGAGGTTTATCTCGGGCCTGACTTTGTGTCCTTGCCTGAGTCAATCCAGAAACACATGAGCAACTTCCTCATCAACTCAGGCATCGACCAGGAGACCGTTGCTTTTGTTGAGGTGATGTCTCTAGACAAAGAGCAAAGATTGTACATGAAGTGGTTGACAGACTTGGAAAGATTTGTGAAATCTCCAAAAATAATCTAATTTGTGGCTCAATTATACATTATATTTTCGGGGTTTTGGGGTTTTGGGGTTTTGGGGTTTGAGATTGGGGTTTTGGGGTTTTGGGGTTTTGGGG